AAAACCACCCAAAAATGACCCAAAACGGCCAAAAATAGCCAAAAACGGCCAAAAACATCCAAAAATCATCCCGAAGTACCCCAAAGAAGCACAAAATAACCCCAAAATAACCCCAAAATATCCCAAAATATCCCAAAACCACCACAAAATATTAAAAAAAAATCCCAAAAATATCCTAAAATATCCAAAAATAACCTCAGGAACCCTAAAACATCCCCAAAACAGCAAAAATAAATCCAAAATATTGCAAAAAACCCCAAAATATCCCCAAAATACCCCAAAATATCCCCAAAATGTCCCAAAAATACCCCAAAATATCCCAAATTAACCCCAAAAAAATCCAAAATTCCCCAAAATTCCCCAAATCTCCCCAAATTCCCCCCCCAGTCTCACGTTGTCGCTTCCCTTCCGGGCTCCTTCCTCCTCCTCCTCCTCCTCTTCCTCATCCCTCAGGGCCCCGAATTTGTTCTGTCCCAAAACGGGGAAAAAAATCCAAATTTTGGGGTCTCACCTCCCCAAAAACCCCCAAAAATTTGAAATTTTAGGGTCCCCCACCCCAAATAACAAAAAAATCCCCAAATTTTGGGGTCTCCCACCCAAAAAAACCCGAATTTTAGGGTCTCACCTCCCCAAAAAATCCCAAATTTTGGGGTCTCCCACCACCCCAAAAACCCTCAAAAAAACCCCCCAAATTTTGGGTTTGCCCACCCCAAAATCTCCCAAATTTTGGGTTTCCACCCCAAAAAAACCTCCAAAACTCCCAAATTTTAGGGCTTTCCCCCTAAAAAAATCTAAAATTTGGGGTCTCACCCAAAAATAACCCCCAAAAAATCCCAAATTTTCGCTTTCCCCCCCCAAAAGCTCCCAAAGTTCGGGGTTTCTCTCCCAAAAACTCCCAAATTTTGGGTTTCCACCCCAAAAAAACCTCCAAAACTCCCAAATTTTAGGGCTTTCCCCCTAAAAAAATCTAAAATTTGGGGTCTCACCCAAAAATAACCCCCAAAAAATCCCAAATTTTCAGTTTCCCCCCCTAAAAGCTCCCAAATTTTGGGGTTTCTTTCCCAAAAACTCCCAAATTTTGGGGTTTTCCCCCAAAAAAACCTCAAAAAAACCCCTGAATTTTTGTGTTTCCCACCCAAAAACTCCCAAATTTTGGGGTTTTCCCCCAAAAAAACTCAAAAAAAACCCTGAATTTTTGTGTTTCCAACCCAAAAACTCCCAAATTTTGGGGTTTTCCCCCAAAAATCCCCCAAATTTTGGGTTTTCCCCCCCAAAATCCCCCAAATTTCGGGCTCCCCCCTCACCTTCCTGCCCGGGGCCTCCTCGGAGCCTTCGGCCTCGTCGTCGTCATCGCTGGGCGGCCGCCCCTGAGGGGATTGGGACAAAAAGGAGAAAAACCCAAAATTTGGGATATTTTGGGATCCCCAAATTGGGGGAATGTTAAAAAACGGGGGGAAAAGCCCAAAAATTGGGGAAAATCCCAAAACACTGAAGAAAAATTGCAAAAAATTGGGGGATAATCACCAAAAATTGGGGGAAACCCCAAAAAAATTGGGGAAAAATCACACAAAATGGGGGGAATTACCCCAAAATTGGGGAGAAATTCCAAAAGAATTTGGGGAAAATCCCCCAAAATTGGGGAAAAATCACAAAAAATTGGGGAAAAATCCCCAAAAATTGGGCAGAAATTCCCAAAATCTGGGAAAAATTAAAAAAAAAAGGGGGAAATCCACAAAAATTGGGAAAAATCACAAAAAATTGGGGAAAAATCCCCAAAAATTGGGCAGAAATTCCCAAAATCTGGGAAAAATTAAAAAAAAAAGGGGGAAATCCACAAAAATTGGGAAAAATCACAAAAAATTGGGAAAAATCACAAAAAAAATGGCGGGAAAGTCCCCAAAAATTGGAGAAAATCACCAAAGAAATGGGGGAAAATCACAAAAAATTGGGGGAAATCCCCAAAAATTAGGAAGAATCCCCAAAAATTGGGGGAAAATCCCCAAATATTGGGGGAAATCTCAAAAAAAAAATGCAAAAATCAAAAAAATCCCGGGAAAATCCCCAAAAACTGGAGAAAAAAAATCACAGAAAATTGGTAAAAATCCACAAAAATTGGGAAAAATCACAAAAAATGGGGGAAAATCCCCAAGAATTTTGGGAAAAATCCCAAAACATTGGATAGAATCCCCAAAAACTGGGGAAAATCCCCAAAAATTGGGAGAAAATCCCAAAAAATTGGGAAAAATCTCCAAAAATTGGGAAAAATCACAAAAAATTGGGGAAAATCCCCGAAAATTGGGAAAAACCCCCAAAAATTGGGGGGAAATCCCCAAAAATTGGGAGAAAATCCCAAAAATTGAGGTGAAATCCTCCAAAAAATTGGGAAAAATCTCCAAAAATTGGGAAAAATCACAAAAAATGGGGGAAAATCCCCGAAAATTGGGAAAAACCCCCAAAAATTGGGGGGAAATCCCCAAAAATTGGGAGAAAATCCCAAAAATTGAGGTGAAATCCTCCAAAATTGGAGAAAAATCCCCGAAAATTGGGGGAAAATCTCCAAAAAAATGGGAAAAATCTCCAAAAATTGGGAAATCCCAAATTCCGCACCTGCTTCTTCCCCTTGGGCTTCTCCTTTTTCAGGTTTTTCTTCTTCTTCTTCTCAGCCTCCTCTTCCTCCTGGGGAATCCCAAAAATTTGGGGTTTTTGGGGGATTTGGGGGGAATTTTGGGTTTTTTGGGAGGATTTTTGGGGTTTTTTGAGGGATTTTGGGGTTTTATGCAGAAATTTGGGGTTTTTTTTAAAGATTTTAGGATTTCTTGAAAGAATTTAGGAACTTTTGAGAGATTTTGGGGTGTTTTTTGGGAATTTATGGGGTTTTTCCAAAAACTTTGGGGTTTTTTGAAGGAATTTTGGGGTTTTTTTTGAGGGATTTTGGGTTTTTATGCAGAAATTTGGGGTTTTTAAAAGATTTTGGGGTATTTTTTGGGAATTTGTGGGGTTTTTCCAAAAATTCTGGGGTTTTTTGAAGGAATTTTGGGTTTTTTTTTGAGGGATTTTGGGGTTTTATGCAGAAATTTGGGGTTTTTTTTAAAGATTTTAGGATTTCTTGAAAGAATTTAGGAACTTTTGAGAGATTTTGGGGTATTTTTTGGGAATTTATGGGGTTTTACCAAAAACTTTGGGGTTTTTTGAAGGAATTTTGGGGTTTTTTTTGAGGGATTTTGGGTTTTTATGCAGAAATTTGGGGTTTTAAAAAAGATTTTGGGGTATTTTTTGGGAATTTATGGGGTTTTTCCAAAAACTTCGGGGTTTTTGTGAAGGAATTTTGGGTTTTTGAGAGATTTTTGGAGTTATTTTGAAAAACTGGATTTTTTTTTGAGGGATGTTGTTGCTTTTTCATAAATTTGGGATTTTTTTGAGGAATTTTGGATTTTTTTTCCCAGGAATTTTCAGTTTTTTTGACAAATTCTGAGAATTTTTTGAGGGATTTTGGGTTTTTTCTCCTGGAATTTTGGGGTTTTTTTTGAGGAATTCGGGTTTTTTTGAGGGATTTGGGGTTTTTCCCCTGGAATTTTGGGTATTTTTTCAGCAATTTTTTGGTTTTTTCCCTGAAATTTTGATTTTTTCTCCCAGGATTTCAGGATTTTTTGGGGGATATTTTGGTTTTCCCCCAAAATTTAAAGATTTTTTTTTACTTCTAAGGATTTTTCCCAGGATTTTGGGGTGATTTTTAGGGATTTTTCCCCATAAATTTGGGGTTTTCCCTCACCCAGCCCCACCTTGCTGCTTTTGCCCTTGGCTGGTTTTTTCTCCTCTTCCTCCTCCTCCTCTTCCTCACTCTGCCCCTGGCTCAGCGCAGCAAAAACATTCCCACCCTAAAAAATCCCAAAAAAACCCAAATTATTCCAATTTTCCCCCAAACTCCACCTGCTCCCACCCCTAAACCCCAAAATTTCTGGGTTTTTTTCAATTTTCCCCCCATTTTTTTTTAATTTTCCCTCAAAATTTTGCATTTTTCCCCATTTTTTCCCCATTTTTCCCCCATTCCTCCCCATTTTTGTGGGGTTTTGCCCCATTTCCCCCCAATTTTGGCTGTTTTTTTCCTTTTTTTTTCCATTTTCCCCCATTTTTGCGTTTATTTTTTTCCACTTCTCATTTTTCCCCCAATTTCCCCCATTTTTGGTTTTATTTTTTAATTTCCCCCATTTCCCCCCATTTTTGCATTTATTTTTTTCTATTTTTCCTCATTTTCCCCCCATTTTTTGGGGTTTTTTTTCAATTTCTTTTCCATTTTTTTTCCATTTTCCCGCATTTTGGAGGGGATTTTTTCCCATTTTCCCCCCTTTTTTTCAATTTTTCCCCATTTTCCCCCATTTTTGCATTTATTTTTTTCTATTTTTCCCCATTTTCCCCCCATCTTCCCCCATTTTTGGGGTTTTTTTTTCCATTTTTCCCCATGTTTTTCCCTTTTCCCTATTTTCCCCCATTTCCCCCATTTTTGCATTTATTTGCCCCCATTTTCCCCATTTCCCCCCATTTTTGCATTTATTTTTTCCCCATTTACCCCCATTTTTGGGGTTTTTTTTCCCATTTCCCCCAATTTTTCCCCATTTTCCCCCATTTTTTTTTCATTTTCCCCATTTTTCCCATTTTCCCCCATTTCCCCCCATTTTTTTCCAATTTTTCTCCCATTTTCCCTATTTTTTCCCAATCTTTGCCCCATTTACCCATTTTTTCTCCCATTATTCCCCATTTTTTCCCATTTTCTCCCATTTTCCCCATTTTTCTCCCATTTTTTCCCAATCTTCTCCCCATTTTCCCATTTTTTCCCATTTTCTCCCATTTTTCCCCATTTTCCCCCATTTTTTCCCAATCTTCTCCCCATTTTCCTATTTTTTCCCATTTTCTCCCATTTTTCCCCATTTTTCTCCCATTTTTCCCAATCTTCTCCCCATTTTCCCATTTTTTTCTAATTTTTCTCCCATTTTCCCCAATCTTTCCCCCATTTTTTCCTTTTTTTCTAATTTTTCTCCCATTTTCTCCCATTTTTCCCCCATTTTTTCCCAATCTTCTCCCCATTTCCCCCCCATTTTTTCTAATTTTTCTCCCAATTTTCCCCATTTTTTCCCAATCTTCTCCCCATTTCCCCCCCATTTGTTCTAATTTTTCTCCCATTTTCCCCATTTTTCCCCCATTTTTTCCCAATCTTCTCCCCATTTCCCCCCCATTTGTTCTAATTTTTCTCCCATTTTCCCCATTTTTCCCCCATTTTTTCCCAATCTTCTCCCCATTTCCCCCCCATTTGTTCTAATTTTTCTCCCATTTTCCCCATTTTTCCCCCATTTTTTCCCAATCTTCTCCCCATTTCCCCCCCATTTGTTCTAATTTTTCTCCCATTTTCCCCATTTTTCCCCCATTTTTTCCCAATCTTCTCCCCATTT